AGTAATATGTTCATTAATAACGTTATTTGTTTAAAAAAAAATTATGAAAAAAAAGAAAAAGCAGGATTGAACATAGGATCCTCAACATTCTGATCTCGCACCTAACGCCCGAGACCACGTTGAGTTTTTGCAGACCGCTTCTATGAACGTGGTACATAAAATATACGAAAAATCGTAAACTGTATCTCATTAACTATCACGTTTTGAAATCATTTTTGCTATTATATATTAATGAGAAAGGTACATGATTAACTCTTTTACTTATAATATCGTGTAAGACTCGTGGTAAAGAAATCGGGCCAAACATAAATATCATTGATGAGAGCCGTAAACAACATGTTCCAGACTGTTAATTATGGCACGTGTCATCGTAACTAAAACCATAGGGCAAAGGATTAATATAATTTAATAAAAATTATGTATTATCTAGAATGTCTCTTTCCCCCTTATGATACACGCCAAGCGGCCGAGATCGCCGAGAAAATATTTTCGGTGGTTAGAAACAAGCGACCACAGAGAGAAGGACAGAGACAGACTCATTGTTTTGCTAAACGAGCCCAATTCGGCGTGTCCGCGTGGAGACTCACTGATTACAATCGGAGCTTCTATCCATTTTTGTTTTTTCTCTGTTTCGCTCTATCAAAATAACAGAAATTGAAAGAATTTTAAATCACAAACACGTTGTCAGTTCTCCGTTTTTTTTTTGACAGACTTCGGTTTCTTGGACTAATATTCAATACTCCAGCAGATGTGAAAATCTCCAATTTTTGTCGTCCGCTGGAGTATTAAATATTAGTCCAAGCAACCGAAGTCTGGCAAAAAAAAAACGGAGAGCTGGCAACCGTATTTGTGAATTAAAATTCTTCCATTTTCTTTTTATTAAATTATATTAATCATATATCTTTCTCATTAACGTATAATAGCAAAAATGATTTCAAAACATAAACATTGATGAGATATACAATAAATTTAAGACTTTTCGTGCGCTATATATGTACCGTGTTCGTCGAGGTGATCCGCAAGAATTCAGCGTGGTCTCGGGCATTGGGTACAAGATCAGAATATTGAAGATCTTATGTTCGATCCTACTTTTTCCTTTTTTCATAATTTTTTTTTAATAAATAACGTTATTAATAAATCTAGTACTCCAAATATACTTTTTATAAAATTACAGAAATTATATACCTGTACTTCAATGTGCTTGAAATTAGTTGCGCATTTCGGGCAGATTTCTGAAATGCTGCCTACTTTTCCTTCACAACTGCTCGACGCGTGACGGCCGAACCGCTCACGCGCGGACGTGCATCTCAAGAGCGTCACAGTAGCATATAGTACAAGAGTGTCATAGTAAGGAACAGCATCTGCGACCATATCTTCCAGCAAATTGTCATGAAAATATTTTCCTTTCTACATAATATTGTATTTTCTTAATAATGGTGATTGAACATCATAATAACTTAATGCATTTTACTGAATGTAATGTTTTTAAAATATTACAATACTTTATTATTTTTATGATACATTCAGGTTCAAAGGGCTACTGATCACATTTTTGTGCCACAGAATGTAATATAGAATTTTACTTTACCGCGTCATATATCTGATCACCTATTTGTATTTTTTCTTTAGTAGAATAAATCTGGAGCACTTAATCTATGCACTTAAATGATGTATCAATAATAGAACTTCAAAGATAATAGAGAGTTTTTACAATAACATTTTACAATTTAGATACGGTGAACGCCTTTTCTTAATTAGTCGCTAAGGAGAAGATAATATGACCATGATATCGATTATGTATCTTTTTTCTTATAGTGAAAAATAAAAATTTTTTGTATGTATGTGTATATATATATATACCGGGTGTCTCAGAGCACCCGTACCACCCTTTTAAAAGGTAGGGATGTGTTTGTACAAAAAAATGGTTCAGACAAAATTTGCAGGATTTCGGGAGATCTATCTGATGGTGACCTTGAATTTGACCTTGAGGTCGACCTTGGGCATAACTCAAGGTCAAAGTACCGTTTTACAAATGTAAACCCTTATTCATGACATCACAAATGAAAATAGCGGAAAATTTTACGTCGGAATACGTTATCAAGCCTAGGTCAAAATTACCCTTAGAGGTCATGTGGAGGTCAAGTTACTTTTAGAGCACCCGTATCAACCTTCTAAAAGATATGGATGTGTTTGTACAAAAAATAGTTCAAACAATACTAGGTATTTACATAGCTATGATACATCCATCTGCTGGTGAATTTGAATTCTACCTTTAGATTCATTTGTAGTCGTGTACATCGATTTTTAAAGATTCCTAATTATCAAGATCTTGAACAGTCGATGCCGCCTGTGTCAGCGTTACCCAAGATGTACCACGTGGAGGTCACAAGGTCGGACTTACACCTCGTCGGGGTGCTTTTTTAAGGTGGTTCCCCTTGCCGTCACCTTTGTTCGTACGCATGTGTTCAGTCTAGATTTTCGAAGTGTCCTCCACGTGCATGTATGCAGGCTGTTATTCTTCGTTGAAAATCATCCATCACCCGACGAATTTCGACAGGATCTAGAGACTGAATGGCTTCTCGAATTCTGTTCTTCATGTCTTCTGAAGTCG